TTAAATTTTCAATGAACGAAGAATAAAACAATGAAAAACAACTTTGAAAGTCAATCATAAATTGAACAGAGAATATTCGAAATTCTGTAATATTCATGGACGGTTTCGCTATGTTAGTTTCTGACAACATTTAAATGAAGTAATATTTCTGGTCCAACTTGCACACTAAACTAATTTTATCCTCTCGTAATTTTATAAGAGAAAATGCACAAAATAATTTACTCAAACATTGTCACACAATTGAACATGTTCCGAACAAACAATGTTTCCTTCATTATATACTACTGTGGACACTTTTTTAATGACTCGTATATTCAACTCATATGTATGAAACATTTACTAGATTTTAAATCATTTGTTCCATACGTATCATTTACGTATCACATTAGAAAATGCGACTGTAACCGTATTTCCAGCTCCACGTTAAGATCTATGTTTGCATTTATCTTAGCACCATTTAACTAATTGTGTCAGAGTTATTATTGATTGAATTTATCACTTAACAGCTAAAAGACAGCTTTTACACTACTATATAAATAACAAATGATTTTATTGTCTTATTGATTAGACACAATGAGGTTGAAGGTCATCTCGACGTTCAAAACACGTCGAGACACATTTTGCAATTTTTCTCCATCCATTTATTTCACCATTACCCTAAAAGAAATGAAAAAAATAAACTCTTATACTCCAGTGGTAAACAGCGAATTTTGAATTACTTACCGTGCACTGAACCATCCACGGTCCATCACTGAACCAGCATTGGTAACGACCATAATCAACACCCACATCTTGACTTGTTGTACATATTGAACGACGTAGACGTTCAATAATTGTTTCTGCAACGAAGAAATACAACATTCACGTTCACTGAATGCGATTCGTTTCGACCCTACCGTCATCAGACAATACTGAAACAGCAAAAATAACGTTCACCAATAGTGACACAACCATCAAGACAGTAAATAAACTATTCACATTTGAGAACTAAAATAAATGAGCCAATAATGACAGCTAGACAAACCACACTTGGCGCATTTTCTGATAAGAAAAAACAGGTTTTTATTCCATATCTAGTAGTTTACACATAAGCAAGGTTCAACTAGAGTCTATACCATTCTGAAAGAAACATACGTTCGAGTGAAACAGCACGATATCTGAATTTACTAAATTTTAAATTATTTGAACTTTCTTCTCCTCTTTCAAACAAAAAAAGAATGCACTCGCTACGATAAACCGCTATTAAAAATCTTGGGACGCACTTCAGGTGTAACTCTTATATAGCGAAAACGTTGTACGAAATACTAGATTTTAGGACTTCTAAGAAAATGCAAGCGATTTGCAATAGAAAAGATTACTGTTTTCAGCAAAAAAATATTTTTTACTGAAATTAAATTTTCAATGAACGAAGAATAAAACAATGAACAACTTTGAAAGTCAATCATAAATTGAACAGAGAATATTCGAAACTCTCTAATATTCATGGACGGTTTCGCTATGTTAGTTTCTGACAACATTTAGATGAAGTAATATTTCTGGTCCATGTTCTTTCCAAAAAGCTCTTTTAAGCACAGAGAACAAACTTTTTTAATTGGTTTCTGTATTCAACTCATATATATCAGACATTTACTAGATTTTAAATCATTTGTTCCATACGTATCATTTACGCATCACATTAGAAAATGCGACTGTAACCGTATTTCCAGCTCCACATTAAGATCTATGTTTGCATTTATCTTAGCACCATTTAACTAATTGTGTCAGAGTTATTATTGATTGAATTTATTAATTAACAGCTAAAAAGCAAAAAAAGAATGAATTCTCTACGATAAACCGCCATTAAAATTCTTGGGACGCACTTCAGGTGTAACTCTTATATAGAGAAAACGCTGTATGAAATACTAGATTTTAGGACTTCTAGGAAAATGCCGGTAACTTTTTGATGCTGTCATCACTTAATTTCGTTTTTGACTTCTAGTAGTCGCTCAGCCCGAGTTCTTTAGTTAAGTGTGACAAGAAAAGTCTCTCAGTATCCTAAACTAAACAAAGTGCCAATTCACTATGTGTAGTACATTTAAGATAATGATGAAAAATATATGTACAAAAATAACAAGAAGTAAGGAGACCACTAACTGGTCCGTCGACTTACTAACTCTGTATTCTAAAAACAGTCTAACACACAGTATAAAAATGTATGATTTCTTCATAATTCTTTCATTCTTCACAAATCTCCAACTGCCGTCTGACTTCGGTGTTAATAATGCAGGAGCCGCATACGGCGATTTAGCTTTTGAAATCAAACCAACATTCATTAATTCCATAAGAATATCATACAAGGCATCTTCTTTCTGTTTACTCATTGTATAACATTTCGAAAATGGTGGAGAATGTGGTTTTGTGTTAATAACATGAGATACTTCCGTTTTTGCAACTGTGATTTTGAATGTATCAAATAAATGACTATAATCTTGGAGAAAGTCCTTGAATCTTTGTCGATGTTCAATATTTTCTATCTTATTTACCATATCGTCCAGATGTTCTTGTATTGATGTGAAAACTGGGTTTTTCGGATTGTTTCCACCTAATATTAAAAAATTCACAATCCACTAAAAATACAACAGAACGTGTTCAAAAGTTTAGAATGTAGAGTAGTTATGCTATTCTATATCGTATTTATGAGAAATCGAGAAAAATAAGTTTGCAAACATTGATAGTTCCTACGAAAGGATATCTGAAAAACGTTTCGGCTAAAATATAGTTTTCGACTTTACCGATGATATAATCACATTTATCAGACTAATTCAGCCATTCCCTGAAGTTCTGAACGCGTTCTGTTGTGTTTTTAGTGGATTGTGAATTTTTTAATATTAGGTGAAAACAATCCTCAGTTTTCACCAGATTTTTGAACTCTTTCCTAAAAACAAACATTGCCATGAGATTCAGCCTGATCGATTACGCATTTTCAACGCGATTTAAAGGCTATCCCAAGTTATTTCATGCCAGTCATGAGACTGCAGTGAAGTCCGATACCACGACCGCACCAGTGAAAATCAAGGTCTCGCTTGACTCTCATTTTGAAGAGGACACTTTACACTACTTACCCATGAAAAGAAACCAAAATATTTCTATTTTAAGCTTTTTAGTAATAACATTGTTTTCTAAAGATCCTCTGGAAAATCTGCTTTAGAAAAAGATTTTCAAAATGACTTTCGCCATGACAAAATGCGGTAAGGTCTTGGCATTCAACTGGTGAAGACTGCAAATATCTATCACTTTTCTTTTAAACATTATTCAGAAGACATCTGGGCGCATTCGTTTTTTCTGACAACAGCTTGTTAATAAAACTTCGTTTAGCATTCATTCTTTATTTGCTCTTTTTCGGAACGTCAGAGCTTAAAATTCATATTTTTCAGATAAATCGAGTTGTTTTCTAACAGAACACTGACTCGCATCGAAAAATGGTTGTGTACGCTCTTAAACCGCCTGTGTTCATCCTTAAAACATCTAGGTATGCTTCTAGAGGGCCTTTGTACACCTATGTCCGCCCATAAAAAGCTTC